ACAGAGTGAATGTATCAGGCCCGCACGCTGGCAGATAGGGAATCAATTTACCTGAATCCCGTCCAGGAGCTTGCTCATGCACCAGAAGCTGTCAGCCTCGATGTTCCGCAACACCTCTTCCTGCAAGCTGGAAACATTGAAATTTTCCACTTCTTCCTCTGCAAAGAGCCAAAAGACAAAAGAAAATAAGAAAGAGACAGAGAAAAAGAATGAGAGTGAAAGACAAAGAGGGAGAAAAATGGAGGAAGATACAGTAAAAGAGACAAAAGTATAGAAAGATTCCCTCTACATACTGTATGGACATCTTCAATGAAAGAGGTGGTAGAATTCTACCAGTTTTGGGGGCATGCATAGAGAATGCATTCTTACGTTCAAAAACGGTTTTAAAAGATCTTAAAACACACACGCAAACACGCACAGCAGTTTCTGGGAGTTGTCACAGAGAAATGTCGTTCAGGATAACTGAACATTACCAAGGGGCATTTACACTCACAGTGATTTGCAGTGCCAAAAGCACAATCTTAAACACACAATGCTCAACATAAGACTCAGAAAAAAAACAGAAAAAAAAACAGCAATGTGCACTTGCAAGACATTAGCAATTAAGCATTTTCTTGCACATTCTTTTAAAGTCAATACATTTGTAAAAGGTAAATAAAACAGTAAATAAATAAATACATAAAAAGTGAAAAGAAACACCAAATTTACAAAAAAGTAAATAAATAAAAAAGAAATTAATCATGAAAGACAAGAGCCTTTTAAAGAGGTCATATGACGTTGCTAAAAAAGAACATTATTTTGTGTATTTGGTGTAATGAAATGTGTTTATGCTGTTTAAAGTTCATTTAGTATTAAACACATTTGTTTATTTAGTTATATATATATATATAAATTTAGTATATTATATATTGTACATATATTTAAAAATACATACATTTTATATCAATATAATTGATATTTTGCACATTGTCATTTGCTATTTTTGATTTGGTCACATTTTGAATCTTTCTTTACTTTTACTTTTTATTGTGTGTTTGTCATTTTAATTAGCTTTTATTTTATTTTATTATTTTTTTTTTTTCTTTTATTATGTTGTGTTTCTTTATTTTTTAATATGTATTTATTGTATTATTATTATTATTATTATTTTAATGGTTTCAAGCTTGCGTTTTAATTCTAGTTTGACTAAACAATAAACCTGCTACATTTAAATGAAAGAAACCTCCAATTCAAATTTGATAACCTGTTTGATAGCATGTTTGCCCAGGTCAATATGACAATGTATGAAAAATCATAAACAGGCAAATATTTACCATATCAAACTCCCAAATCAGTTTCTTCACTGAACATCAGAATGATTGTCCTAGAGCAAATGCAAACGCAAGTGTAGATTTATTTAGTAACCACTGTGAACAAGTCAAACCACAGCTCTGACAGGAACAAGTCACAGGTTGAGCAGAGGAACGGTATCACAGAACTACACACACAGTGCTGCTCCGTCTCCTTGGCAACATGGGTCTAACCTTAAAGAGTACGGCGAGCTCTGGCTGACAGGACCAGTGTGCTGCTGGGAATATTTGCAGTGCTGCAGTTTAGCGAAAGGCTGTTCAGCTTCCAGGTCAACCACTGCATTAGTGCAGTCTAAAATGCCACTGGCCGTCTGCACTCGTCCTAGACGCTCATGAATGTCTGCTGTCTGACAGGTCACAGTGGAGAGGAAGCCACGATGGAGTATGATTCCCGAGGTAGGGCAAGAAAACGCGAAAGTCTGAATGACCTCCAAATGGTGGACAAACTCATTGTGCTTTCACATAACAGCCTTCTGCTCAGGAACAAAAGTACTCACGAGGCTTTTAAAGTGTGTGTGTGTTGGGGTTGTAATAAGGCAGTGTTAATCTCTCCAGTTGTGAGAGTCCCTTAACAGCACTTTCACTCATCACAAAACAAGGACACGCAAAGAGGAGCAGATCAGAAGAATGCATAAAGCAAGCCAACAGCACCTCCTGTGGTCAGCAGTGGAGTTGCAAGTAAATTACTTGTTTATGGTATTAGCAACAATCTTGTATACTGTAGCCCCACTTTGGAGTGACATTTAAAAATGCCTGAATGCCATTGCAGTCAATAACATTAACCCTTTAAAGCCTGACATATTAAATGACAGTCAGAATATATTTAATTTTTTGAAATTGAAAAAGTTAATTGAACTTTTGGACGATAATAAACACTGGGCTTTTATGGCTCATATACTATTATATAGTGAGAATATGAAGCTGATTGAGGATGAAAAAAAAAAAAAAAAACTACATTTTAATCAGAGGCCCAAACAGCTGCTGATATTTTTCTTATTTATGTGACAAGATAATATAAAACAAATTTTGGTAACACTATGTATAATGCCTTATAAAGGGTTATTAAAGAGTATAATGAATTATAATTATTCATAATGAGCATTGTAATGCATTATATCTTGTCGTAAATAATAACTGAATTTAAAATGCATAGTGTAACAATGAATTTATAAGTGTTATAATGTATTAACTGTGGTTACAATTATTCATGAGATTGTACAATGCATTATAAGGTGCATTACAAAGCTACTTTTATAATGCATTATACATAAAGTCTTTAAGTAAAGTGTTACCAAAATGTTATATTATATAGAAATAGCCAAGACAAGTTAAAACGCTGCTTTAATCAGTTGAACATTTAATTTATGACAATTATTTTGTTTTATCAATGATTATTGAATTCAGTAAAATACAATAAAAAATAATATTGCTAAATAATATCACAATTTATAACAACTATTTTAACTTTTAATATATTTTAAAATGTATTGAATGCCTGTGATGGCAAAGCTAATCCAGTCTTCAGAGTCACATTACCCTTCAGAAAACATTCTAATAGGCTAATTTAGATAACATTTCTTATAATTATGAATTTTAAAAACAGTTTGTGGTTACAATTATTCATGAGATTGTACAATGCATTATAAGGTACATTACAAGGCATAATTAATGCATTAAAGCTACTTTAATAACGCATTATACATAAAGGCTTTAAGTAAAGTGTTACTAAAATGTTATATAGAAATAATATAACTGATTCTGATAGTTTGTAATGCAAATCAATGAGATCTTTATAAAGTACAGCAGAGTGCTTACATAAATTTCATATAAATATCAGTTGTAAAGTGACTTTAGTCCAGTAAATGTTAATTTGAAAATGTTGGTATCATTATAAAAGTTATTGTTATGTTTACTTCACAGCAAAAAGACACAGAAGACAAAGAGTACCACAACCTGAAGGGGGATATTTTTAAATTATACTAGAGGGCCATTTAATTACTTAAAAGTATAAAATATCAATCAGATGACAGAACGAATGTAGTGTAGATTGTGTTTTCTGCAAATTTTTTATCATGTTGATAGTTTAGAGGCCTTATAAATTTGCATATCAAAAATGATACAGTAGGGTTCATAAAATAAACAAATAAATGTTCAAGACAGTGTCTTTAAAAAAAACTTCTTTTTTTTTTTTCAAACAAATGCAGATGTTATTGTTTGTTCATTTCTGTCAAACGCTAGTGGAACATGTCCACAGTTCGCATGAAATAAATCTGTGGTTAATACTGTGACACCTGTGTGAACTTTTAAAAGCATAGCAAAAATGACTAAAATCAAAGCAAGTGGCATCTGCAAACAAATGATCCTAATGATCCTTTCTCAGAACTAACTTCTCTTTTCAACTGAATACAATGACATTCATATTTTAAAGTGTATCTAAATATATTTTTGGAACAATCATCCTTAAAGGGATAGTTCACCCAAAAATGAAGATTAGCCCATTATTTACTCACCCTCAAGGCATCCTAGGTGTATTAATTCCTTCTTTCAGATGAATCCAATCAGAGTTATATTAAAAATTGTCTTTGATCTTCCAAGCTGTTTAATGGCAGTCAGCGGGTGTTGCAGTTCATCAGTCCAAAAGAAGTGAAATAAAGCGCATCCATCAATAATAAAAAGTGCATCACACGGCTCCGGGGGTGAACAAAGGCGTCCTGTAGTGAATCGATGCGTTTTTGTAAGAAAGATATCCATATTCAAAACGTAATAATCACTTTAATCTAGCTTGCACCAACAGTTGTACACGGAAGCAGCTCCGGGAGGATGACGTAAGATGTCGGCGTTGCGCATGCGCTGGTGAGTCTCGTGAAAACCAACGTTTGTTCACAGGAGCAAAGGAAGCAAAGTTTCCTTACTTTAGCAAAGGAAAAGTCTCCTCTTGGCTTATATCGAAATCCTCTGACATTCTTCTTTGCAAATCCTCATTTTGTACTTCTAATTCATGACTGTTGTTTTGTTTTGATCTCTCCCCTGCGCTACCGCGTGCGTCACTTCTGAGCGGTGCATGCGCAACACCGACGTCTTACGTCATCCGCCCGGAACTGCTTCCGTGTACAACAGTGCACAATAAGCACACTGCATTCCTACAATAGATACCCCGAGACACACATCTCCTTGGTTTATATTTATTTTCACAATTTCCAGGGGTGACTCAATGAAACCTGACACTGTTAAATGAACTAAATAGCATGTATTATTGATGTGGGAATAAGAAGGTTCACACACATGCACGCGCACATACATAAATTCACAAAAACAGAAGGTGTATGACTCCGTGACCACAGTTCCACACTGTGAAGTCTCCACCGCACCATCTGTCTGCAGGCATTGCAAAGGAAAAGAGCAGATGTCTGTAAACATACAGACCAGAGTCGACAACACACCAACTGTACTGCCTGCTGCAAAAATTTATTTCCCAATGGCCTCCACTGACATATTGCCACTTTTTGAATTACACAAGACACAGACAGGTTAAAATGCTGCTTTAATCCGTTGAACACTTGTAATTCATAATTTATTATTTATTCCATCTATAATTTATAATAATTCAATCATTAAGGAATTCAGTAAAATATAATAAAAACTAGCATTGCTAAATATCACAATTTAATAACTATTTTTAAATTTAACATTTTAAATTAAAATGTATTGAATGTCTGTGATAGCAAAGCTACTCCAGTCTTCAGTGTCACATTATCCTTCAGAAATCATTCTAGTACACTAATTTGGTTAATATTTTTATAATTATGACT